ATTTGGTTTGACCAATCCTGAACATGCAGAACAGGTGCAGTGTGTGGCAAACACTAGAACAGAGGATGGGCCAAGTGACGTTCCTGCAGCTTGAAGCAAAGCCCTCATCTCTGGGTGCTCACTTCCTCCAGAAAGCAGAGGCGAGGCTTGCAAGCAAGGGTTGGGTGACAATTTGCTCAGGGTTGGGAAGCATCTCCCCATATTTTTTTCTAGAGGATGGAGTGTTTCCCCACAGTGTGAATTCTCAAGAGAAATGCTGACTACATTCATACTCTGAGGTTTTTCTTCCAGAGGGAAGGAAAAAGCACATTGCTGCTGCAGTTTGATCCAAGACAACCTTTAGCTAGCGCAAGGCTGAGTCTGCTGAAGGCCTTTTCATTATGGATGAAGTCAGGAAACCACCTGGACATTTCTGCTCCCTGTCCTGCCTTGAATCCAAGAGGAAAGCCTGCGGCTGTGTTGTGCTTAGTAAGAGCCAGCTGGCTCGGTGTTCCTTTCTGAAGGTGAAGCCAGCAGTGCCAGCCCAGCTACACAAGTGCAGAGCACGCAGCTGAGGAGCAGCTCCTGCCCCAACTGCCCTGTCTTCCTGGCCAACAGGCTCCCAAGCAAACCTTTGGGATGTGCCACCTGGGGTCTTGTGTGCATTTTTGCATGGCACTTGTGTGCACAGCCCACATGCTTCATTTATGGCTCAGTGTGTCATGCAAACCGAGAAAACACATTGGAATAAACCATGATACAGCTGACTCTGGGCTAGTATACTTTGTGAAGAAAGCCCTGGCTCTTGCAAATCTGGTGGGATTGAGCCCTGCAGGACTTGTCGTACTACTCAGAATACCAGTTTTGATTTTAGGAGCTCCTCCTAAAATCAGGCACTTGCCTCAAGGAGGTTTCCAATTGCCATGAGGGCAACCGCTTCATTTCTGCAGGGTTGTCTCTGTGACAGGCTGTTCTTTGGATGTAGTATGTTTACAAACAGATGGGTAGACCACAGGACCTTAAGAGGTCTACTTACCCATAGGCAGTTTTCAGCATGTAATGCAAGAGTTGTATTTAATGCATATGGCAAATGCTGAGAAACCTAAATTAGACCTTAGAATCTTTTGGTTTTCAGGGATGTTGATTATGTGAGGAAGAGGAGAAAGCAAGCTACTGTTTTCTGTGTTGCTCAATTTGTGCTGCATTAACTCAAATGAACAGGATGTGAAAGTGCACCCTTTGTGTCTTGTCTTTACAATAATTGCTGTGGGAGGTGGGGAGGGACCAGGAATTCATCAAGTAGAAGTGGACTCAGTCGCCCTGCTCCGGATGTCCCTCAGCCAACAGAGCCAGTGAATGGGTTAGAATCAGGAAAATCAGGTATCTGGAATAAGAAACAGGGTTGCTCCAGTTCCCAAGATTTGTGAAACATTCAGTGGACGTATATAGCAATAAAAATAGCACTTATGACTTATATACCGCTTCACAGAGCTTTACAGCCCTCTCTAAGATGTTTAGAGTCAGCATATTGTCCCCAACAATTTGGGTCCTCATTTTACTGACTTCGGAAGGATGGAAGGCTGAGACAACCTTGAGCCTAGTGAGGTCCTTGCGCTAATTCTGAGGCACAGCCAGCTTTAACAAAAGCCAAATAGGCTTCTGGTGTTTACTACAGCTGTGCAGTATTCCAGATCCCAACTGTTAATTCCTAGTGCACATAGATTAACAGACCACATCCATTGGCAGCTCCATAAAGAAGTTACAGGTTTTCTCAAGATTTAAACACGTTTTGGTTTAAAGAGATAGCAAAAAGTCCAACGTGTAGACCACACATGGCCCAATTTTCCTTGAAAACCTGAATCACTGCATAGATCTAGTATTTATTTTGTGATTCTCCTTTATTCCTTCATCTTAGGAATTGTGCAGTTCTGACTGAGATCCCAAAAGTTGGAGGGATAGGCAAGAAAAATGTAATTCTAGGAAAAGATTGAAGTATGGCATTCTGACAGTCAAGCTAGTATGTGGCAACACTCAGGACAAAACTACAGCTCTTTTTGTGAAAGGCTCAGCACAAAATAAGGGGTGTACATTACAACCCACCACAAAGCAGAGCTTTGACTCTTTTGGTTCCTTACCTACTGAAATTTAAAAAAATATTTTGGCAGTAGTTGCCAGTCTTAACTCAATATGGGCCTACCTTTCCCGATCCTTGCAAATTTGGGCTGTTTGCTTGTGGTTTTAGTTATGTGCCCCTTTCAATTTTTTTTAAATATTTGATATTTTTTTATCCCTTAATTTGTCAGATAGTTCTTTATGCAATATGCTGGTCTCATGAGGTGTCTTGTTTTCTTTCTTTGTGGTGGTGTTTTTGCTTGGATCATTATCCCATTTTTCAGGGTATTCCAAACATCTGGAACTATTTTTCCTTTTAGGATTTTCATCCATGGAATTCTTCCTAGTTTTTCTCTTAGCCTGTTGAAGTCTGCTCTCTTAAACTCTACAATAGTAGTCTGACTTGGTTCAGTTACCTAGTTGTATTGTAGTTGCACTATGGTGAATTCGAGTATGAGATGGCTACTCTCCCCCAAAGTTCCTATAGCTTCTACTTCCTCAACCATTTCATCCCTATTAGTAAGGATTAAGTCCCTCTAGTTTCCTCCTTTACCTTTTGTGTGACAAAGTTCTCAGCTAGGCACATCAGGAACCTGTTTGATCTTCCACTACCTGCAGTTTCCCCCCAATGTTGTCAGGGTAGTTAAAAGTCTTCCATTAGTACTGTGACATATTTCCTGCACACTTCAGCTAAGTTAGCAAAGGGTTAATCTACTTCCTCTGTGTGGTCTGTAGACACCTATGGCTATATTATTTATTTTTCCTCTAACATTTAGCCAAATACTTCTAAGGGGGCTTTCTATAAAGGGGTAATATTTCCTGACATAACAATGCAACCCCCCTCCTTTGTTAGGTCTGTTTGTTCTGAACAATTTATATCCTTCCAGTTGTGTGTTCCAATTATGTGTTTTGTCCTACCGAGTTTCAGTAATAGCTACAATATGGTATTTGCCCTCATATATTAGGATTTCAAGTTCTGTTCCCCATATGGTGAGCATTTATATGCAGGCATTTGAACCCTTTATGGTTGACTCTGGGCTTGCTTCCTCTGTATCTTCCAAACTAATTATATGCTTCTTCGCTACTCACTTTCTCGTTACATGGCTGTGTAGGGCTTTCTGCTTTGGGTTTAGTCTTATAATTTGGTCTCCTTCACCCTGTAGTTTTACTTCAAAGCCCTTTGGACATGCTGAGCCAGTTGTTTCCCAAATACATTGACAGTCTTGAAATGCAGTTTTTCTCTTGCTTAGAAGTCCTTCCTGTAGGCTCCAGTATAGCCCTTCCTACACCCTAATCAATAATGTAGAAAGCCAAACTTCTCACAATATCACCATCATTTGAGCCAATGGTTTACTTCTAAAATCCTCCATTCACTCATTAGTTTATGCCTTTTTGTCAGACATATAGATAAGAAAACAATTTGGGCAGCAAGATCCTTTGCTTTTCTGCCTAATTGTTCATAGACCTTGGAAATTGATTTCAGACTCTTAGTTACATGAAAGAGGAGAAAGGGCTAATATTGATGAATGTATCTTGATGAACTTATCTTTTATTTTATGTACACTGAGAGCATATGCACCAAGACAAATTCCTTGTGTGTCCAATCACACTTGGCCAATAAAATTCTATTCTATTCTAATAATAGGTGGGCTTAAGTGTAATAACCAGCCTGTCACATCTTTAGTCTTTGAACCTGTGAGCCAATTCCCTTCCTTAAAGAAATTGGTCTACAAATTGATGACTCTGTTCCTCTTGAGTAATGAGTCACCAATGCATGCCTTTTCCTTCCTCCTCTGGGGATGTCCGAGCTACTTCATTTCTTATCACTGGAACACTTGACTGACTCGTTTCTTCAAGTGTCTGCATGTTTCCTTCCTGGAGAAGGATACAAAAGTGGCTTCTTCCAGCTTTGATTTCTGCAAGTCATAATTCCTGCTTTTTTGAAATCTTAGCTCCCCTCAGAGTTAAAACAGATGCTGAGGCAAGTAGGCCGGCTTTGCCCAGTCCAAGACCAGCTTTGGCAAAGGCCTGCTACATCAGCCAGGACCTTCATCAAAAGGCATCGTGCTCATTTTTCCTTATCTAAACCTTTGGCGTAGCCAGGCCAGTTCAGGACCCCATTAGCAGACTCCTTTCCCTAATGGATCCTCCCCGCCGCTAGGCTGGCAGCGTCCCCACAGAAGCCGGGGCTAAAAGCAGGGCCTAATGGCACGGGGCGTGTGTGTGTGGCCGCTAATGGGTGTGGGAGCAGGACGGTGAGCGCCGTTTCCCTGCCTTTCCGACCAGTCCGGGCTGCCTCAGCCTGGGAGCCGCGGGGAAGATGCTGCTCTGGCTCCTGCTGCTGCCGGCCATCCTCCGGTCAGGTGTCGGCGACTTCCAGGCACGGCTCGCCGCTTCTGGCCGGGGCTCGTCCGAGCTGAGCGGCGCCGCCTCGCGGACTCTCCCGCTCGCGGCCGCTAACGCGCATCTCTGCGAGGGCTACTGGGGCGCGGACGGGCGCCTGCACGCCGCCTTCTTCTGCCCGCGCCTTTCCGACGCGCCGGCCGACGCCTACTGCTGCCAGCCCGGCGGGAGCGGCGCCCTCAAGTCCTGCTGCTCGCGCCCCGACGCCGACCATCCCCGGAGCGCCAACGCCTCCGCCGCGCTCCCGGCCGGGCTCCGGTGAGGCTGGGCAGGCGGGCCGCGGGGGGGAAGTCGCGGCGGGAGGAGCCCGCTGACGCCGCTCCGTCCCGCCGCAGGAGTCCGCTGCCGCAGCTGCTGGCCGTGGGGCTCTACGGCGGGCTCGTCCTGGCGCTGACCGCGGCCGACCTCCTGCACTTCCGCCGCCGCCGCGCCGCCGGAAGATGCACCGTCACGTGCCCTGAGCAGGGCCCGCCCCCGGAAGTGGTGGCCGTCGCGTCCGCATGACGCCCACTCGACGCGCCATGGCGGCCTCAGCGATGGCGGAGCTGCGCCGGGAGGGGAACGAATATTTCCAGGCCGGCCGTTACGCGGAGGCGCTGGCCGCGTACGCGCGCGCGCTGGACCTGCCCGAGGCCGGGCCCGAGGCCTCCCAGCGCGCCCTGCTGTACCGCAACCGCGCCGCCTGCCACCTGAAGCTGGTGAGCCAGGCCGCCGAGGGGCGCGGCGGGGCGGGGCGGGGTGGGGGGAGCGTCTTTTTCGGTTTCCCGTCTGCTGCCTTCCCTTCGCAGGAGGACTACGCGCAAGCCGAAGCGGACGCCTCCCGAGGTGAGCGTCCCCCCACCCCGCTTCCCCGGCGGCCTTGGCCTCGGCCCCGGCCCCGGCCCCCAAACGCCTCCCTTTTGCTCCCGCGCAGCTCTGGAGCTGGACGGGCATGACGTGAAGAGCCTCTTCCGCCGTAGCCAAGCCCTCCGGGGCCTGGGCCGCCTCGACCGGGCCGCCTCGGATCTGCAGCGGTGCATGCGCTTGGAGCCCAAGAACAAGGCCTTCCAGGAGGCACTGCGCGACCTTGGCAGCAGCGCCCAGGAGAAGGTAGGCCCCGGGGCCCTCCGCTCCAGCTGTACCGAGAGGCTTCGGTGATGGGCCGGTGCCATGCAGAGCAGGCGCTCTTGGCTTCCTTAAGATAAGGCTCTGAATTGGCCGGTAGCAGCCCTCTGTCTCTTCCTCTTGGTTTCAGATGAAAGCCATGACATGCACTGACTCCAAAGTAGAAGCCATGTTTAAGCTGCTGCTGAGCAACGAGCCAAAGGATAAAGACAAGAAGCAAAAGGTACTGGTCAGGGAGTTAGGATGCCCCTCGGTGATGGGCTGGGCATCCCATGAAGCCTGATGAACTTGTTATTCTGAAAGCAAAAGTTTGCAAATGACAGGTGGGCTGGAAAGAGTGTAGAAGCAGTGCAGAATTTTAGATGTAGCATATTCTTGCTTTCAGTTTAGCAAATATTCCATCCCTCTAGCTCAGTGATGGCTAACGTTTTCTGGACTGAGTGCCCAAAGCATGTGCACTCGGGCCCCCCATGGGGCTCCTCCCCCCACACACATGTGCGGCAGGGACCCGACAATCAGCTGGCTGGCAGGAGGCGCACATGCATGTGAAGCAGAGCTGAACTGAGGTGACGGCTCACATGCCCACAGAGGGCGCTGTGACACGTGCCATAGGTTTGCCATTGCAGCTCTAGCTGGTCTTTTACTTGTATATTGTGTCAGAAATGGAAATAAAATGGGTATATAGTGGGTAGGGGCGGTCAGTGGGTGAGTGAGCATGCAGTCTCACGATAATGGGGCATAAGCTTTGAGGCTTCACCCCAACCCCATCTTCCTTCACTCTCTCCCCCAAAGAACCTATAGCAGCATTTCCTGATTTGAAGTAGTAGCAGACTTTAAATCTTGTTAGGTAATGGCTTCTCTGGCTTGGATTTCTGGGAGTGGGGGGACGCCTTGTATAGGCAGAGGGTTTTAGGTTGGAAGGTCTGCTTCTGCCAGTGTGTAGCAAGAGGTGGGTGTATGATGGATCAAGATTTCCCAATGCAATATAAATCAGTCTGAACAGGGAAAGCTTTTTCAGGTAGCTAAACACTGGTTCTTTTTCTGATCAGGCAGCTCAGAACTTGATAGTTCTAGCTCGAGAGGAGCCTGGTGCTGAGAAAATTTTCCAAAACGATGGAGTGTGCTTACTGCTGCAATTATTGGACACAGGCCGTTTGGATATGATGATAGCAGCCTTGCGGACCTTCACTGGCCTCTGCCGTGGCCACTGTTCTCGAGTAAGGGCTTCTACAAGATGATGTTTTTTCAGAGCTGGGGGGCTCACGTGGTTTACCTCCTAACTGTTTCAAGGATGGTGCTTTGGTGCTAACAGCACTTCACTTTCTCTTGGAGTATCTAACCAAATAATTAGCATACTGGGTGGGTGGGTGGGAGTGTCCTTCCTGAACCTACTGAAACACCTACTGCACACAGCCAGGAACTAGTGAAAGCATCTCTGCTGATCAGACTCCTTTTTGCCTCTGATTTTGTGACCCAGCAAAGGGGCTTGGGAGAGAGCAAGACAATCACATTGTTCTGTAGCTCAGTTCTGGAAATAGTTTTGGATTTGTGTTGCTCACGGAATTGTGGTGATTCCTTGCCATATTGGAATGGACACCAGCATGGCTGAACTCTGATCTTTTTGTATGGTTCAGTGGGGACTAGATCTCACTGTGTTATTGAAAAATCAACCCCACCTCCTTAGCCTTACCTGCTTGGATCCGAAAACTTTCTGTTTCTCTAGGATTTTGAGAAGCTGTGCCTGCTTCCTCAAGAGCAATTCTAGTTAGACTTGAATTTCAGAGTAGTTAGTCCTAGATAAGAAGATAGGTAAGATGGTCTACTCTGGTACTTCCCTTGTCTCAAAGTTGGGACCTTTCTTACAGACGGTGGTGATTCTGAGTGACCTGGGGTCTCAACGCCTCTTTGCTGTGCTAGAGAGGGAGGATGAGCAGCTTTCACTGGCTGCCTATAACCTGTTGCAGGTCATGTTTGAGACCCTCAGGCAGGGGCTGCAGAAAGAAGTGCTGCACAAAGACAATGTTTTGGCATCAGGTGAGTCTCCAGCTGCCTTTCTGAAGTTGTGGGGATGACATCACTGTCTCTACTGCTTAGTAGAAGGATGGCCAGGGATAAATTTTCATGATGCTGTCTGGATGGATTACAGGGTGTTCTAACTCAGGCATGTCAAACTCAAGGCCTGATCTGACCAGATCCGGCCCATGATGTAGCTAGATCTGGCCCAGGGGGCTGTCCTAGAGACAGCAAAGGCTGGCGCTTTATAACTTGATGGCGGCCATCTAGCCCAGAACACGGTCAGCCTTAGATCTGCATGGCCACCTTAGAGCTGGTGACGGGTCGCCCCCACTCCACCCCAACCACGCGCAGAGGAAGCAATGAGTGCAAGCAGGGCCTGGCGTCCCTGGGGACTGTCTTGCCCTGCAGGCTGACTGCATTCTGAGCACTTCCCTTTCATCCAGGATGCCAGCACCTGGCGTCTCTTTTGCGCACACCGAGGGGGCAGGGGTGAGGCAGTGGGGCAGTCTTTTGCTGGCTCCAGGGCGGCTGTGTGGGTCAGATCAAAGGCTCACCATGTTCTGGCCCAGATGGCTGCATCAAGTTGTAGATCAGCATTATGTCCGCACCAATGCCTCTATACCCCGTTCACTGGCGTGGCCTCGCAGCCCCCTTTCACTGGGACCAACCCGCCCCCATGTGGGAAAGGCACTGCCACCGGCACTTCCTGAGCACGGAGGAAGGAAGAAGATGGGAATGAGACAAAATGGGACCTTTAGGACTATTGTGCTTCTGCCTGCCAGTTATTGGGTGAGGCAGAAGCAGAACTGCCCTTTCGGCATCAGGCATAGACTCAGTCCAGGCATGGAAGCAATGGAGGGGAGAGTGGACAAAAAGGGAAGCAATTCTCAGCAGGGTTTTTTTTTTTAAGCTGGCAGAGGCTTCCCATTTTGCCTCTGTGCCTGACGGGCCTCTGCGTGGCTCTCAGCTCACCTTTCCCAGACTCGTGTACGTGTTTGTCTGTGTGCGTGTGCGTGTGGTGGTCTTCCCCTTGCAGCCCCACATTGTGACGTTGGGGAGGAAAAGAATGGGAGAAGAGAAGCTGGTATGGGAGCTTCTTGCAGTCTTCTACGGAGCTGGGGGTGGGGTGCAAGGCACAATGCAGTTGGTGGCAGGTTGGGGGAGGTGTGCAGTCCACAGTACCTTGGCCACACAGCATTAAAGTGGTAAAAGATGAGAAAAAGCACTCCAAAAATATAGCTTTCATTAGTTTACAGCCTGCCATCACAGAAGGTGTCTGTTGAGAGAGTGGGGCTGCAAGACACACGTGCGCGCGCACACACACACACAAATGTGCACGGGTCTGGGAGATGTGAACTTAGAGCTATGCAGAGGCCCTGTCAGGCGCAGAGGCAACGACGGGGGAGGGGTCAAAATGGGAAGCCTCTGCCCACCACTGCCTGCCTATTGCCAGCTCTGCACAGAGCCTCTGGCAGTTTAAAAAAAAAGCAGGGAAGGAAGGAAATGGGAAGGAGGGAGGCAAGGAAGGAGGGAGGGAGGGAAAGAGAGGCAAATTGATTGGAGATGCCCCAGTTCAAAGGAAAAAGCAATTTTTTGTTCTGTTTTGTCACAGACAGAACTTTGTTGGCAATCCAAGTTACCATTAGTATTCTTGAATTGTGAGCTCTTAGGAAAGTATCTTCTCCTTGTGTGTTGCAAACAGCCATTTCCAGTGGGGAAAACAGGACAAAGCAGAGTGGGGGGAAATATTTTCCTTTGCTATTTTTCCAGTCTGAATTAGACCATGGCAGGGTCCCTACAGGAGAACCCTTTTAAGGATTATGTATTAATAGAAATGCAACTAACTTACCTCTGTTCCTAAACGCTAAAGCTGTTGCACATAAAATACAGAGGAGCTCTGATCAACTATCACAGCCATCATTTTGACAGTTTTGCTGTATTGTCTGTGGATGCCCCCACTAAATGCAAGCACGGGATAAACTGAGCCTGGTTTATTCTCAGTCTTTTAAGTGGCCACAAACAAAAGTGGCATTTGATCACAAGGCGAGGAGGCATCAAGAAATGTTTCCCCTTTTGCATTTGAGCATCGAAGAAGGGACAGAAAAGGAAAAAGGGAAAGAGGAAAGAAAAAAGGGAAGTGGGGAAGAGAGCAAGAAAGGAAAAAGAAGGGAAGAGGGGAGGAAGAAGAAAGAAAAAATAAAGAGAGAGGAAAAAGAAAAGGGAAAAAAGGAAGGAGATTATAATGAGAGAGAGGGAAGTCCTACCTTAACACTTGGCCACTAGCAGCCCTGCTGCCCTTTCTGTGATGTCATACCTGTGATGACCCGGGACACGGCACAGAGGCAACACAGTCAGCTGATAGTTCAAAATGCTGCTTTATTGCTCCAATTTTTCCCCAAATGCTCTCACGTTTATGGCACGTCCCGGAGCAAACTGCTCACGTGCACACACATCCAGCAGCCTCTGGCTGCAAGTAGTCCAGCAAAACGCTATTAGGTGCTTTTTCAGGAGGCAGCTGGACTGTCTTGTATTTCCTTTTGAAGACGTTTCTCTTCTCATCCAAGAAGCTTCTTCAGCTCTGACAGGATAGTGGGGAATGGAAGGATTTATATTCCTTGCGGACAGCTGGTTATTTGCATCCTTTTAGAGGGTTGTTGAAGGACTTGGAGGTTTATCTGTGTCCTCAGAGTCATCTGAGTAGTGCTAATGGTTTTTGTAGTCTGCCATTTTTCCTCTGGAAATCCATTCCTACTCCCACACCATTCAAAGGGGGTTCCTCTGAAATTGTATAGCTAAATGTCTGTAGAGATTCTTAGTCATCCAGGTCATGGTTGTCCCAAAGGTGCTTTTTCAGGAGGAAACTGGACTTTCCAGTTGCCTCCTGAAAAAGCACTTTTGGGACTGGCCAAGGAGCACAGCAGCACAGCAGCCTCGAGGAAGTAAGCACAGCTGAGCGCTCTCTTGGGGAAGTGGGGCTGGGCTAGGCTAGGCTAGGCTGTGAGGTCCTGGTGCTCTGGGAGCTTGAGGGCCAGGTTGAGTGCTTGCCTTCCACTGCCCAGGGCTTGGGGCAGCCTATGCTGCCGTCCAGGGGTCCTCCGTGGACTGAGAGGGACAATGAGGCTCCTCTGGTGGACAAGAGTTTCGCACTTGCCCTGGTGTTGCCTTCCTCTGCTGGAGACAATGGATCCCCCAGCCCTGCCCACCACATGCGCCCCCCCCAGCACGAGTGACGTTGAGCTGCGCCCCAAGGTCAACTACAACCCTTATGCAGCCCTCTATGAAATTGAGTTTGACACCCCTTTTCTAGATCATGATTCATACCTGGAAGGGGCAGAAATGTAAGTTGCATATTTCCCAGCTTTACAACAAAAATACAGCCTGGCCTGCCTTGTTTCAAATTGTGCTGCATGTTGCTTGGGGGGGGAGGATGTTCTAATAATTACTGTATTTTTAGACATCTCATATTCATGTTTTTATTCGCATTTACCTTGGATAAAGCATCTTGGATATTTGCAGGAGAACAGTTATGCTAAGTCAAGTTATGCCTTTGTTCACTTGTGTGCTGTAAGTGATGGTTGCTCACAAGTATCAGTAGAAATGTTATTTACCGCTCTATCTGATGCTCTTGCTGTAGACTCATCCAGAGAGCTGAGGTTGCTCCTTAGATGGCTGTTAGAGGCTCTCACTCGAGCAGGCATCTCTTCCTATGGTCGTGACAGTATCCTCAATCTGCTGATCAGCGTAATAGCCCCAAAGCCGCTGCAAGCCTCCAACAATTCTTTGACTCTTTGGGTCATTGATCATGGTGAGCATGACTCCCTTTGCAGTAACTTTTCTTGGCCCCTTCTCTGCTTTAGTAAACAATAGTTCCTTGCAGGTCTCAGAGAGATTCTGGAGGTTGGGAGCACTGTGCCTCACAGTCCTGGAGGCCTGCGTGTGACAGAGAACACCCCCATGACTGTGGCTGTGCTGCTCAGTAAGCTTTATGAGGACTTGAAGTGTGATGGCGAGAGAGAGAATTTCCATCAACTTTGTGAGGATTATGTCCGGTAGGTCTGTGAGTGTGTAAATGTGACCCTTTGGAGAGAACTGCTGCTTGACAGAGGGAGCTGTCAATTCTTAGCAATGAATACTGGGCTAGTTGTCAGTCTTTTGGCTCTGCCGACCTTTTTTTGGTGAGCTTTTCATGGCAGATGCCTCACGAATGAGAGAGGTATGAGCTACCATGTTTCCCCGAAATAAGACCCAGTCTTATATTTGTTTGGGTTCCAAAATAAGCATTAGGGCTTATTTTTGGAAAATCACAATATTAGGGTGATCAGCGGGCACAAGAGATGGTGAGCACGCAGGGGGCCAACGGTGTCCAGCAGCAGCTGCAGCCCACTGGCCCTTCGGTTGGTGTGCACTGTGACAGCACAGCCCGTGCAGCACAGGTGAGTTGATTAGCTGTCCAAGCAGCAGACGGAGGCAGAGTGATGGGGGAGAGGCAGGCGATCCAGACGCACTGTGGGAAAGCTGAGAGTCGGGTTGGAGTGGGTAGATGGCCGCAGGAGGCTCATTTGTATATTTGTATTTTAATTCTGGCTGTACACCACCCTGAGTCCTTCGGGAGAATGGGCGGTATATAAATAAAATTATTATTATTATTATTATTATTATTATTATTATTATTATTATTATTATTATTATCTTTGCACTGGCAGCAGACAGAGGCACAGGGTGGGGGGTGGGGGGAAGGCAGCTGATGTGCCGCACGGGCCACAGGCAGACTGAGAGATGTGAAGACGAGCCTCCTGTTGCCGACTACCCATTCCATCCCACCAACTCTTGTTTTCCCGTAGCCCACATAGTGCATCCGGATCACCTGTCTTCCCCGCGCATCCCACCCAGCTGATGACAATCTTAACCAGGGCTTATTTTTGGAGTAGGACTTATATTTGGAGCAGGCTAAAAGGGCTAGGGCTTATTTTCTGGTTAGGTCTTAATTTCGGGAAAACATGGTACTTTAGATGTTGGTTTCTTCCTATAACATATATTCAGTATTTACATAGTAGATGTAAATGTTTAGTCTCTTTGCTGATAAGAGATTGTTCTCTCTTCCTTTCCAGGGACTGGTTTCAGGATCACGGCATGCCTGGGAAACTCAGGGCCATCCAGACAGTGAGCTGTCTCCTGCAAGGCCCTTCAGAGGCCGGGAACCAGGTGCTGGAACTGAATGGCATCATGGAGAACATTCTGGCGTTGTGTGCCTCATCCCAGGTGCCTCACCAGCTTGTTGCTGTGGAGGCCCTGATCCACGCAGCTGATAAGGCCAAACGTGCCTCCTTCATCACCGCGAATGGTGTGACGCTGCTCAAGGAAATTTACAAGCACAGTGACCGTGACAGCATTCGCATCCGCGCCCTGGTGGTGAGTAGAAGGAGCTTGTTTTGGATCAAGTTGGGTGACAGGGAGGAAGGGAGCTTGTTCAGATGTGCTCCTTTTTCTCTGTTGCTTGTTTGCCTTTGGTAAATGACACCTGCCTGGTGCAGGTTGTATGATGAATTGTTGTCTGTGTTTTCAGGGCCTTTGTAAATTGGGCTCGGCAGGGGGCACGGACTTCAGCATGAAACAGTTTGCCGAAGGCTCCACCATGAAACTGGCCAAGCAGTGTTGCAAGTGAGTGTGGGCTTTTCTTGGCTGCAAGAGGTGCTCTGCCCTAAAGCCTCCAGCACCTTCAGTTCCACCTGGTCTGGCACTCTTGGGGGAGAAGGCATCAAGTATTGCTTGCTGCTTTCACATTTGTAAATATGGTGGACGTCCACGGGTGAGTGTGATCTGGTTGCAGGTCGACATGTTTTATGCTGAATGGAAGCTAACAGCCTGAGCAGATCTGATGTAGTTGCAATATGGACTAGATCTGGTTTTCTGTGATTGCTGTCAACCTTGCATGTTTGAGCGCTCTTTCCTAATGGTTACAGTGAAATTCTAATGCTCCCTACTGAATGGCCGGGGCCTTAGTGGATGTAATGTCCCCTTGTCCCACATCTAGATGGTTGTGCAATGAGACCCTTGATGCTGGCACCCGCCACTGGGCAGCAGAAGGTTTGGCATTCCTTACCTTGGACGCAGATGTCAAGGAAGAACTTCTGGAGGACAAGGCAGCTCTACAGGCTCTGTTCCAGCTGGCACAGGTAGAGCTTCTTCGGGAGTTGAACATGATATTCTAATAATGGGTGGTCCTTGCTAAACACCACTCATTCAGCAACTGTTCAAGTTTGTGTTGGAATCGAATGGATGCTACTTACGATTGGTCCTTGAAGTCGAGACATCATAGCATCCTGTGGGCACAGGGTTGCTATTTGTGAGCTTTGCTGGCTACTGACAAGCAAAGTCAGTGGGGTCCCCACCTCTTTGTGGGGGGAGGGTCATGGTAGTGTCCGGTGGCAAAAACTCAGAGTGCATCTTCTTTGATTAACAACTTTTAGGGAAGGCTTTTATTAGTTCACTTCATCAGATGCACAGAGTAGCTGCACCACAGTAGCTGTAGGAGTTAAATTGGGGTGAGGTAGGGAAAAATGGCAGAGGAAGATGGTTGGTCTGACAGATGGAAGTGATGTGAGACAGAGTACTTCATCAATTGTTTAAAACCCATTGTATTTGTTGAAAGATTGTCCAGAGCCTTTTAATGTCTGCGGGTGCAGCTCTTCCTCATTTGGTGATCCTGTGAAAGTCCTGCTTTTCTAAGAGTCACTTTGAAGTCTTCTATGGAGGCTCCTAGGAAGTTGAAATGCTTAGACATTGCTTGAGTTCTGATGTCAAACATGTCCCTTAATTCTTTTGTGCAAAGTTGTTTTATTGGTTGTATGAAGAATCCAGAGGGGCATTGCTAGCAGATGATGGCATATCTTGCATTGGAGGAACAACATGTGAAGTTGCCTCTGATCCTGTCTGTTCTTGTTGGCCTGTGATGAGGCTCTCGGTGTAGATATCCAACTCCAGAATTCCAGGATATCTTCAGGTTACAGGTGCTGATCCGTGAACTCAAAGGACTGCTAAATAAACCTCCCCTCTCCCTGCTCCTTGCTTCCATCCTAGACAGAGAATCGGAGCTGCTTATTTGCAGTGGCCTCTACACTGGTCAACTGTACCAGCAGTTATGACTTTGAGGAACCTGACCCACAGATGGTGGAACTTGCTAAATATGCCAAGCAGCACATCCCTGAGAAGCACCCCAAGGTGAGACAGACAAGTGCCCGGGGGGATGAAGAGTGGAGGCAAAAGCCCTGCGGGAGAGAAGGGACTGTGCATCTTAGGGGGGTGGGCAGAGGTGCAGTGGAGGTGCCTGTAAAGGGCTGCCTCTGCTGGTGCCTTCACTTATCTCATCTTCTAGGATAAGCCAGAGTTCGTTCACAGGCGTGTGCAGAAGCTCTTGGCCGCAGGTGTGGTTTCAGCTCTTGTTTGCATGATCAAGAATGAGAGTCCTTCTTTAAGCCCTGCCTGCCGGGAGCTGATTTCCAGGTGAGGCTTGACTTAACCTGGAGTCCAGAGGCAAATAAACTTGGAACATTCAGGTGGGGCTGGCAGCGGGGCAGGGTTCCCCAGTTTATGACATGAGTTTCTGAGGGACAGCTAGCCGACTGATTTTTCCTACCAAAGATGACTTGCATCTCGAGGCATTCAGACATTGGTTAATGCTCCATTAATTATACCTGTGAGATACATTTTACTGCTGACCTTGCTAGGCAGTGGTTCCTCTAAGACAGTGGTTCTCAACCTGTGGGTCGGGATCCCTTTGGGGGTCGAATGACCCTTTCACAGGGGTCGCCTAAGACCATCGGAAAACACATATTTTCAATGGTTTTAGGAATAATTTTATGGTTGGGGGTCACCACAACAGGAGGAACTGTATTAAAGGGTCGCGGCATTAGGAAAGTTGAGAACCACTGCTCTAAGACTTTTACTTGGACAAGGGAAGGGAACTCTTGAGAATCAGCAGTCTATGGGCTCCATGCATCTCCATAGTCCTTCCAGGAGAAGGGTCTGAAGCATCATTTTCTCCCTGGGGCTTATTGGAGCAAACTAGCATTATGATTCCCGAGACAGGAAAACATTAGTTGAATATTCTTGGAGTTGTTTTTTTGGGGGGGGGGGGTTGGAGGGCGTGTCAGGGCCCAACAGAGTCTCTAGGGATGAAAAATACAGCCCAGCCCTGCCTTCTGCAGCTGCTGTTTTTCAGTCCCTCCAGGGTCCTCAGTTAAAACTAGAGTCCCAAAAGTTGGAAAATGCCATTTAGGCCTGCAATCCAGTCCCCTGCCCGGTGCAGGAATCTAACTGAAAGCATGCCAGAGGAGGCCAAGTCACCTCCGCTTGAAATTGCTCTCCGATGAGGCAGGGTTTCTGGATCGTACATGTCTTAGCGGTGATTCAAACTGTGACTTAACAGGACAGGGTGGAGATAAGAAGTCCTATTTGCTTGCCATCTCTCTATTCCTGTATGGCTGGTGGGAGGGTATGTGCTTGAACCTGGCTCTGACCACCCCCCTCCTCCATATCCTGCTGTGCTATAGGGTTTTCCTGGCCATAGTGGATAACCCAGAGAACCGTGGGGCTGTGGTAGCTGCCGGAGGGGGGAAGGTCAGTATTACCCCTTCCTCCTCTTGCTCTTCCCAGCAAGGCTCTCGGGGCTGACTAGTCTCTTTCCCCCTTCCCTGTCACCCAACAGGCGCTTATCCCTCTGGCTCTGGAAGGGACTGAAGTGGGGCAGAGCAAGGCCGCACAGGCTCTGGCCAAGATTGCCATCACAACGGCTCCGGAGATGGCCTTTCCTGGAGAACGGGTCTGTGGTGGGGAGCACTGGTGGGAATGGGAGGTGGCTCTTTCTTGGTCCTCCTCTCCTGTGAGAAGAGCAGGGCTCCTCTTGGCTAAGCCCTTCTTTTGGGCACTTCTCTTCTGCAGGTCTATGAGGTGGTCAGACCCCTGATGAGCCTCCTGCATTTGACTCGTTCCGGCCTGCAGAATTTTGAGGGGCTGATGGCACTCACCAACCTAGCTGGGACCAGTGAGAGGCTCAGGTGAGGTCTGTTTTGGGTGTGGGACGATCTCGGCATGGCTTTTATTTTATTTTTTATTATTCATATTTCTATGTCGCCCACTCTCCGAGGACTCTGGGCGGCTTACATCAAAGACAGTATACTAAATAGCATATTGCCCCCAACAATCTGGGTCCTCATTTTATCCACCTTGGAAGGATGGAAGGTTGAGTCAACCTTGAGCTGGTGAGATTTGATCCGCTGATCTGCTGAACTAGCAGTCAGCTGAAGTAGCTGCAGTACTGCACCCTAACCACTGCGACATCTAGGCTTGTGGCTACTTCTCATGTCGCCTGCAGGCAGAAGATTGTGAAGGAAAAGGCTGTGCCCATAATCGAAGGCTTCATGTTTGAGGAGCACGAGATGATTCGTCTGGCGGCCACGGAGTGCATGTGCAACCTGGCCTTGAGCCCCCAGGTGGGCAGCTGAGAGCAGACTGGGGAGGGGTGGGCATTATCCCTCAGGCCTGACAGCCACTCGTCTTTCATACAGGTAGCAGAGCTGTTTCTGGCTGAAGGCAGCGATCGGCTCAAACTGCTGGTTTTGTACAGTGGGGAGGAAGATGAGAGGCTTCGTCGGGCAGCTTCTGGGACGCTGGCAGTCTTGACCTCGCTGCTGCCACAGATTTGTGTCCGGATTTCCCAAGTGGTAAGTTTGTGTGAGTTACCTCTTGCCCCCCCCCCTTGTGCGCAGACGTGCACACGAACACTTCTGAGGGGTGCACCTTGGTCTGTGAGCCTGGGAAGGCAAGTGGCAGGATCCTTCTGCCACAGACCTACTTTTCCAGGGGCAGTGACAGCTCTGGAAGCAGGGCTGTTGCCTGGTGGAGCATCCAGTGGGTCGCAAGGACAGGGACAGGCATGCCTGCAACCTGCCTCTTGTTGCTTCTCCTCCAAGGCAACGGACTGGCTGGAAATCCTGCAGTCTCTGCTGTTCAGCCCCTGCACAGAGCTTCAGCATCGCGGCATGGTAGTGGTGAGAAACATGATGGCAGCCGACCGGGAGGTGGCCATAAAGCTGATGGAGAGCGAGATGCTGGAGATATTGTCTGTGGCGACCAGGGCAGAGGACAAGCCCCAGGTGGCTCAGTTGGCCCAGGAGTGCCTGGCTCATGCTGTCTCCTATGGCTTGATAAAGCCCAATGCTGCTGCCGGGGAGTGAGGGCCCTCGTCCCGTTTCCTCCCCCCCCCACCCCCACCCCCCGCTCAGAAGCACCTCAGCTGCACCTGGCCATATGCACCAGGCTGGCCTGGTGGGGCGCTACTTGCTGCTGGGACTTGGCAAAGCGGGAGTTCTTGGGGGTCCTGGGGCAGACACACACACACAATGGTTCTTCTCTCTTGCGCTTTCAGCATTTTGTACTCTGGCAGACAACTCTGTAGGATTTAGGGAATAATGGGACACACTGCATAAATAAAAACAAAAGAAACCTGCATCTGGTATATTCAATGTTTGTAATTGTAGCATTTGCAACAGTGAAAGGAGCTCTATGTAGACAAGGGAGAGGCAGGAGGGGAAAAAAATCCGAAATTGTCTCTAAAGGGGAATCACATTTCCCAGAGTGGCTCAGATACCCAGCTGGGTGGCCATGCCCATGTTGACATGCTAAGAAGGTCCCCGGCCCCTTGATTGCACAGGCCCCACCTTTGGCTTGTGGGCCTGTCCAGCTTTATCTACACAGCAGCGACCATTACCTGCCCCCTCGGCTGCTGGACTGCCTTGCAGGGCTTCCAGCTCAGCCAGTGCCAAGACTACACCGTCCACTACCATCCAAGCCAATGGTGCCGGGGGGAGAGGCCAGGTGGGGAGAGTTCAGCTTCAAATTTCTGCTGGGCTGGCAGCATGAAGGGCAGGCCCAAGCCACTGTCTATGGAGGGTTGTGGGCCAGTGCACTGCGTGAGGCCAAGCTGGAGCTTTGTGGTGGGTGTGGCTGCAGGGTGTTTTGGCCTATCAGCGGCCTGTGCAGCTAGTAGCTGATTCAGACAGCGAGGAGGCTGGTGTGCTGCGCTAGCAGCCTGGGCAGCTGGCACTCGAGTCAGACAATGAGGAGGCTAGAGATGTGCCAGAGGCAGGGATTCAGTCAGGGCCTTCAAAACCTCCCTTAAGTGAAGAGGACGAGCCTTTTCTCGATGCAGAGGTACGCAGAGCTGCCAAAAGGCAGGAGTGGCTCCTCAGGAGGAGGTCTCCTTGAGAGTAAGACTCGGGGCTAATTGGCCACTCCCTTAGCCTATTTAAGGAGGAACACTGACTGAAGCAATTAGCAGGGAACAACTTCGTTCACATACCTTCTTGTCTTGCTTAATCAGCTTTCTGCAAATTGCTTCTGGGCATTCTGCCAACCACAGTAAGCTTTCAGTATTCTTGTTTGAATACTTGGCAGCTGTTAATGCAGTTAATTAACAGCCGTTGTAAAAAACTGGTTTATTTAGTAAACTAAGGTTTGAACGGACTTTATGTGTGCTGTGTTCTTTGGGGTCCATAGCTGGGGCAGAACACAGGGTGTCATGTTGGCACTGCTCTGGGACTGTCTGGACCCTCCAAGTTACTGTTGCGGGAGGCTGCACTGGAAGCCTGGCCCACCGCCCCAGGGCGGGCAGCCAGCCAGGTAGAGCTGCAGCTGCGACCTCACCCACTCCAGATGACACACCTTTTCCCCCACAGAGCTGCCGCCAGTGGCTACATGGCCTCCCCCAACCTACCCTTCGCAGCGCTACTCACTGTCCCCATTGCAGCCCTTGCTGCCTTACCCTGCTTGTTTCTTTTTCAGGCGCTGGCCATCTCTAAACCTGGGGCTGGGGTACGTAAGGCGCTTGGGAGGCTTGGCCAGATTTTGTGGGGCCAACTTTTTTCCTAGGGAAATATGACCAGTTGGGGCACCAGGATGTGGCCACGTCCAACAGATGTTTCGCTGAAGATCGAGCAGCTTCACAGAGTTCCATCTTGATCTCGGGACGTGAAAAGGAAATTTGGGTGTGTGTGTCAGTGCAGGTTTCTTCTGAGATGAGCAGCAGATGTTTCTTAAGGCAGCACAGCAATGTTTACATATCAGAAGTACAACATTAAATGCAGAATAAAATTATCTTTTATGTAGAGCTAAGTCAGAAATAAAAAACAGCTTTTTCAAAACAGTACAACTGATTTTTTGCTGCTCACCTACATCTCTGAGCAAGCGAACAGCCACACAAATAAATAAGAGGCTGCTGTAGTGAAGAAGGTGCAAATTTAGCCATGATCATTAAATGTACAGACGAAGTGCCAGGGATGCCAGCCTCTTAGCCCAGTCAGGAGACGGGCCAGTCGGTGAAGAGGGAGGTGATGCATCCTTATAGGACTCCCTGTAGTGTCTCCACTTCCTGTGCCCAAGATGAGCAGGAGACCATCTGCTGAAAAGCAGGCCTGGGTGGACAAGGTTGCCCAAGGAAAGGAGGGAGGCAAACCTCTGTCTGCTCCCCCCTGCCCACCCTCCCCCATGAACAAGGCAGCAGGCCTGGGCCCAGAACAGCTGCTGCATCTAGACCTTTATTCCCTGTAACAAAACTTGGAAATCAATTCATTAAAAAGAGTTAAAAATGGCAGCATAAACCAGACTCCAGAAGGTCCAGTTGATGCTGGACCCTGGATGGTGAGAGGATCCAGGGCTGGTAACAGCCCCCCTTCAGCCGTCAGGATTGGAAGCCGTGGAGTTGAGGACGTGGGACGGGTGCTCAGATTTGGAAGCCTCTGAAAGTGCGCGCTGGGGAGGGAAAAAAACAGCAAGGGTTTTTGGTGGGCGTGGGAAGCAGCGGCAGGGAAGAAACGGGGTAGAGGGAGGCAGAACTGTGGGCTGCCCTGCCCAAGCTTGCTTCTAGCCATGAAGCCCTCTCTGCATGCAGTGGCCCCTCTTTTGCCACTGCCATTTACAGGCAGGGGAAGCAGCAGCAAAAGGAGCCCTAGCAGCAAGTGGGACTCACCCAGCCCCTGGGCAAGGGCTGATTGGCCAGAGGATTTGATGGGGAATGCAGCCATCTGGCGACTCTTGTAGGCTGCTTCTGGCTCCAGAGCCAGCGGGGACAGAGGGGCAGAGGGGAAGAAGAGGGAGAAGGGAATTACCGCAAATGCTGAATAGGTGCTGGCAATAGAGTAAATACTGCCATTGCGCTGGGCAGGGGCTGTCGGGGTACACCCACCGCTCAGAACTGTTCTGTTGATTGGAGACACGTTCTCCTTGTTGCGCTCCATCTGGCCTTTGGTCTTGGCAACCACACGGATGGGGGTCCGGACAGGCTGCAGGCAGAGAGGGGAGTGGCACTTTGGGCAAGGACAGCCAGAAGATTAAAGGAACGGGCACAGGAGGGGCCATGTTTAACAAAGCCATGGTGGAGCTATTCCGGGAATTTAGGACTGCCAATCTCCATCCTCCTCCAACAATTGCTCTGAAGGTATTTCCAGTCTTCCAGCCTCCCAGTCCCTAGTGCCACAGGTGTGCACTATGTGAGCTCTGGTGCTCACCTGGGCACAGCTGAGGGCAATGTAGGAATGTCCCAGCTGTCATGTTGTTTTTGCCTTCTGCATAATTTTGTCTGCATTCCAAAACCTTGAGCTGCAGAAGGCCTGTACCACAGCTAAAGGGCTGGATTTGGGCAGCAGCCCACCCAAGGAGGCTAACCTCTATTTTGGCCAAGACCTCTTGCCAAGTACACCCGGAGCCTGTGTAGCACTTGGGTGCTGCAATGGTGTCAGGCCAGCTGACAACACACCAGGACCTTGAGCCCCTTCAGCTTCTCCAGGAAGCAATCTCTGTGTTCTCTCATTTCTAAGCAGTTTACGGTATTCTGTTACAGTTCTCCCCTAATTTTGTAATTTTTCCACTTCCACACTTCGCCACTTTTGCACTTGCCCAGGTCCCACTGCTGAGCTTCCTTTAGTTTCTCCTGCCTCTTGGCCTTCAGACAGAGCTGGAATGGGACGGGAGGCTGCCTCCCTCTGGACTCTTTACCTTGCCTCCAGACAGGGGTGGGTGGCATCCGGGGGAGTTTAACACCGAACCTCTCAGGGCTGAGCGGATGGTGCTGTTGGGAGTCGTGGTGGTAGTGTTGAGCTGCAAGAAAAGTCCAGGTGTTAGGAAAGAAAGTGGTCCCTGGTGCAAAGCAAAAAATATCTGATGGCCGTTTCCAGGGAAAAGTACTGCTAATCAGTTCTCACTTTCAGATCTACATGTCTCTACATTGCAATACCTTCAGCTGCACAGAAAATGGATTAGAAACCTGAGCAAGGGCATAATTTTACTGGTAGACTCAGAATAACAGAATAAGGGAGTTGAAAAGGGACCATGGAGGTCTACTAGAAGGAGCAGGAGACTCTATACCACTCAGGACAAATGGCTGTCCAATCTCTTCTTAAAAATCTCCAGTGATGGAGACCCCAATGGAGGCGAGCTGGTCCTGTCAGGAAATTCCTTAGTTCCAGGTTGGATTCCTTCTGATGAACCTCCACCCACTGCTTCTTGCCCTGCCCTCACGTGCTGTGGAGAGTAGGTTGATCCCCTCTTATTTGTGGCTGCTGCCTCTCGGATATTGGAACATTGCTATCCTCTTACCCCTAGTCCTTCTTTTCACTAGACTAAACACACCCACTTCCTGCAACCGTTCCTCATGTTTTAGCCTCCAGCCCCCTAATCATCTTGGTTGCTCTTCTCAATTGTACCTTGAAATGTGTCCCTGTGCAAGGATGGATTGTATGCTTCTGGTGGAACCTGGTGCTGAGTTGCAAGAGGGTGGGGGCCTTTCCCAAGGAACTTGGAGGCAGATCAGCCTTGAGTCATTGGTGTGCAGAAAGAGGCCCAGCAGGGATCCTCCCTAAATCTTTCCAAGGTGCTTTAGCCTGGCAAGATTTTCTTTATGGGTGAACAGCAATAAAGAAACTACCCTGAGCAATCCATCGTTTCGTCCTTGGTACCTTGCACCTGATAATGCTGTTGGGAGGCATTTGTATCCTAGAGATGCCCTCCAACCTCCCCAGTTTTTTAAAACTACATTTGTTTAGAAAAAAACCCTTCTAACTGGGATATATAGCAAGTAACAAAGCCACCCACCCCCTTTCTGGGGGTGGACCTGAGGTATCTTCAGGCACTCAAAAAGGGCCAGGAGTCTCCAGGCTCCAGAGAAAAAAGTCCACAAAGGGAAAAGATGACACTAAAGAGGAAAGGAAAAAAGCTGTCCTGCATTTATATATGCGAGGTAAAAAGGCAAACCCTGACTTCTGGGCAACCCCACTTACCTTTCGTGCTTTGCCAGGTGTGGCGATGCCCAAAGCCCGTCTCTTGGTGGGGGTGCTGCCATAGAGCATCTCCTCCTCCGTCTGTCGGGACTTTTTGAGTTGCTGAAAGACAAGGGAATGGAGTAAGCTAAACAGGACCTGGCATATCTGAGTGATCTCAAGCGAACTTTTTTTAAAAAAGGATTTAATTCATCAAAGAGATGGACCAGCTGCTTAGCTATCACACTTGGAATCAGAGGGCAGGTCAGAAGTTGGGGGAGGAAGACGCTGCAGGAGGGGTTGCAAGACCTCCCAATTCACCACCTCTGTGCCAAGCGCTCTCAGCAGCACAGCTGGAACCGGCTCTGCTTCAACATGGGGAAAGGAGCCTTCTGGCATCCGGTGGTGGAGCCCTCCTCTGCATGTCCCAAAGCCCACAAAAGACGGGATCACTGAGAAGAGACCCCAAGGTCTCTGATGGGTTTAGAGCTTTGGGAGGCAAAGGAATATCCATCTTAGAGCACAGAATCATAGGAGTGGAAAGGACCGCGGTGGTCTTCTACGTCCTGTGTAAGCAGGGATCCTAGACCATCCCAGACAATGCTGAGTCGCAACATCTTTTTTATATTGTGGCAACCAAAACTGGATGCAATATTCCAAGTGTGGCCTCACTAGTGCAGGATTGCATTGGCTTTTTGGGTAGCTGCCAAACATGGCTGGCTCATACTTGGTCTACTAGGACACCTGGCTCTCTCTCACATTCGCTAGGTGCCACCCATTCTGCACCTGGGCATTTGGTTTTCCTTGCCTAAGTGCAGGACCTGACTTTTCTCAGCCCTGAACTGCTTTTTGTCCCAGGTGCAGTTGGCGCCTTTGACACGTCACTCCATTCGCCTACTTCCTTTTCTAATTGTTTTCGGAAATTACTTGTTAGCTGCTTTTCAGCTACCAGGAGCCTTTGGATTGAAAGACTTTGCAGCACCAGGTGAGTCTCCTTCAGCATTAGCAAGAAAGTTTTAAATACAAGTTTAAGAGCTTAACTTTCTTTTTTTGGAATAAACAGCATAAAGGTGAATAAAACATTGATTTAGAAAGTCACAAAACAGGACAAGGAAAAGTTGAAATAAAATTTTAGAATTAATTATAAAGAATCTTTCCCATGAGAAAATGCTTTCATTTTGAATTCTTCGGAAAAAAAGCCCTCTAAAAAATTGGACACCGGGGGATTTGATCGGAAGCGTCGCGGCGAGACAGTTGGGAAATAGCGGGCTCTGATGAGCTCCGCGAAAACCCTGACTGACAAGCCACTGTTGAGGGGTCTTCGGACCGGAACGTCTCGTAGGGACGGGGAAGGAGAGGCACCTCGGAAGACCAAGAGGAACAGGCAAGTTCCTCGAAGGTCAGAGGAAACTCTCTCAAATTCGGCAGCGGGGGCAGTGGCCATTGCAGATGCCAAAAAGCTGGGCCAACCGGATAAGCATTGAGCTGGAGCAGTGACTTGAACGGAGTTTTGAAGCCAGGTGAGTAACAGCCAACTCATAGGCAAAAAAAAAAAGAAGAAGAAGAAGATCTTTAAATTTGAAAGAGCCCCAGCGGAATAACAGCGGCTAATGGGCATGGGGAAAGGAAGGAAGATGATTAAAATGGAACTTAAATTGATAAAAACCCAAAAAGAAAATTGACTTTTGGATAAAAATATTTGGAGAACTTTAAAAACTAGAAGAAATACAACCCCATAACTTGATAAAGGGTTGGAAAGAAAGCAAGATGATCCTTTTTTGAATGCTAGAGAAAAACTAAAAAGAAATTGGAAACTAAGCCTTGTAATAGAAGTTTTGTACCAAAAAAATAAGAGGGGAAAAACGGACTGTGTAATTTAGATTGGATTTTAAAACTGATTTGGCATATTTAAAGGTAAAAAAGAAAAGAAAAAAAAAACTAGTAAAGACTATTAACATGGATTGAAACAAAATGGATATTTTTTTAGGCTGCTGATTGGAATTCTGGAATGTAGTAATACACCTTCAGGAGAAATAAGACCATTACAACACTGAACTTTTGCTCTAGAAAAAATCTTGGACTTTGATAGTGATAACAGCCGTGAGAACTTCTAAGGAGGATTTGTTTGTCTGCAAGCGGCTTGACTTTGGTTATTAAAAAAAGAGGAATATAACAATACTTTTAATTGGAACAATATTAATCTGGAAAGAATAAAATGGCACAGGAAATTAGGGAAATGATGGAAATGATGTATTTGTCATTGAAAACGGAAGTAAGGGAAATAATTACAATGTTGCACAGAGAACCGAAACCTGATGATCCAAAAATTGTGTTAGAGTATACTCAAGCTGACAAGGAGATAACAAATGAGAAGCAAGACATGGAGACTGAAAATAAAGAAGAAGACAAAGACAACGAGATTGACTATGGAAAATTAAATGATTATGTGGGTAGTAACAATAAAAAGGAGAATTTTAAAGAGTACATTGGGATTAACAACGGAAAAACAGAAAGGGTGGAACAAAGAGGGGGAAAAGGGTGGAATAGAAAGAATATAAAAAACTTAAATGATTACACTGGGATTAACAGTGGAAAGACAAGAAAGAGGGAAAAGGGATGGAAAATGCACTGCTTAACACTGCAAGCCGCCCTGAGTCTCCGGAGAATGGCGGCATATAAATCAAATTAAAAAAACAACAACAACAGGAAATACAGGGCAAACTAGGAGAGTTCAGGATTTTAAAGCACAAAAGAAAAAAAGGGGGAAAAAAAGAAAAAAGAAAAACAGAAAGGGAGAAAGGGAGAAAGAAATGAAAGAGGAATATGTTATATATATTTAGAATTGAAATATGAATTGAAATAGGATTTATAGATGTAATGAATATTAAGAAAAAGTTGAGGTGATATTAAGTAATATAAATAATGGAAAATCATGGATGTATGAATCAATTGAATATGTAATAGTTGGAATATTTTTAACCAAAATTATGGAAATTGTAACAATTGGAATATTCTTAATTGCATTCTTGGAATTTATATAATGATAAGTTTTAGAAATATGAATAAGTTTAATAAATTAGAGGATAACAGCTAGAATATCTTCAAATTTAATTAGGGAAATTGTAACAATTGGAATATTTTTAATTGAATATTTGGAACCTAATCAAACAAGGAAAAAAGGTATTATGAATTAATTGGATTATGGTGAAAGTAAAAATGATTAAAATTTGTTTGAAAAGGTATAAATACATATGTTTGATAAAATAATTGAAAACTAGTGAAGATTCAAGGAAATATATAGTGGAAAGTTACCTGGTTTATTATTATTATATAAAGAGAAAAGATGGCTATATAAGTAACTTATTTTTATTAAGATGTCTATTATTTGGAATAAGATTTAAGGAAATGTATGGTATAAAACAATTAGGTTTATTATTTTTATAAGGAATGACTGTAACACCACATAATTAATTGATTTGTATTAAGCTGTTGGATATTGAAATAGCTGACAATGGAGGAAATGATAGGAATTATATTATGTGAGATTTTAAATTTAAGGGGTTCAATATAGAGATGAAGAGAAAAATTGAAGGGTAATATTGGTTTTAAAAAAATAGAGAGAATAAATATGGCAAAAAGGGAATATATAAATTGTAAATTTAGGTGAAATGACTAAAAATTGTTTAAATCTATTGGTCAATACTCTGTTCAGAAAAAATACATAGTTTGTCTGTTTGTGTAAAAATTTTTTAAAAACTTAAAAAAAAAAGTTGGACACCGGAAGGAATTAAATATTACAATTAAAGGAGAACACTCAAACTTGACTTACTAATATAGAATGAAGCAAAATATTTTAATATTAGATGTACTGAAGGATATTTTTGAACAATGGAGCCAGAAATTAATATCTGCCTCTGTAGATAGACTGTGCTTCAAAGATGCCATATAAGAGGAACAAACGTTTCTTGGCATGATTGAGACTGATCTGAAAGTGGCAAGAATGCAAGGAAAAAGATGCTTCACTGGACATAGAAAAGAAATCGGTTCATGTTTAATAATTCAAAGGATGACAAACCAAGACAGTAATCTGGGTAATTTTCCTATATTTAGAGAACAGAATTGTTAATATTTTGAATAATTCGGTGAGAAGGGACAAAGAAAAATGAAAAGAAATGTTGTAGGTATAGGCCACGGCCTGGTAGTGGACCACAGGTTGAAGACCCCTGTTCTAGGATATTATTTGAAGGGACTAACATGATAGTTAAAAGTAAAGGTTGAAGTAGACATGTTCTTTTCCCTTCAATGGATCTTTGCTGGCTTCAGGACTGAAGTAACAAGGCCTGATGGATTTGTTTGTGTGTAACCAGTGGGATAAGGGGAGAAGAGATTTTTTTGCGTATTTGCGAATGTTACTAAAGGGGAAAGTCATTTCTTTACATATTTCCTTTATTCTTATTTTTGTTTTGTATTTTTTTTATTCTTTTCCATCTAACTGTATGGTAAGACAGGCGGCCAATAAAATTTATAGATAAAATATAATGGTGTAATCTTTAATAAAATTACTATTAAAAACAAACCAAGAAACAAAAAGGCCAGCATTGCTGGAGGGAGCCCAGAACTGCCTCCTTAAGAAGAGGGGGAAGCAAACTGCTGGATGGATTTGCAGGCAAAATGGCTCCTCCTGGCTACCCTCTGGCTAGAGGGACTAAGCACACCCACCAGTCAACAGGCTTGCTACCCTTGTTGGACGTGATAAACTAACAGCCATGGGTGGAAGGCTGAGGTTGCCAACTCACCCGTTCCTGCCTTTCCTTCTCCTTCTCCAGATGATGGAGGTGCCACTGCTCAGCCACATGCTCCATGAAGCGCTGCCCACTTACTAGGAAGTCCTGAGCATGCTCTTGCTCCCACAGCTCAACCTGGACCTTCAGCTCCTCCTCCAACTGCACCAGAAGAAGGCAGATTTAGGTGGGGCTGCCACAGGTTCACGGGATGGGGAGGGTGGCTGGGAAGGGCCACTTGCCTTGGAAAGGGTCTTCTGCAGCTTAGCACGCAGTTTCTCTTCTTTCAGGAGGTTGCCTCCTCGGTTGGTGAAGCGACTTGGATCGGTGGCTTTTTTCTACAGGGAGGAAAAGGTGAGTCTCCTGCTGCCTGGAGAGGCAGCTGAGCCCAGCCCAGCCCAGCCCGGCTCACAACTACCTCGAGCTCCTGAAAGAGACACCAGCTTCTCTTCCACTTGTGGATTGCTTCAAACAGCTCTTGATGTGTCTTGTAATAATGCTTCAGTCGTGTGAGCTCATTGTCATGTTGCTGCAACAACTCTTCAGTGAAGGTGTCTATGAAGGAGGAAAGCATGAGGGATGGCAGCAAGGGCCACTGAAGATGGCCTCACTCACCTTCAACACTGGTCCCCAACCTACCTTCATAGTAGGGGCCAAAGGAGCACCTCTGCTCTTCCCCAAAAAAGCACTTGTCCCAATAAGTGGCCAGCTCAGCCCGAATGGCCTCCACCACCTTCTGCAGATTCTGGCATTTCAGTTGTTCCAAGCGGTCGACTTCCAGGTGCAGCTAAAAGAGGCAGCGGGGAGGGGAATCAAGGCAATGAAACACAAGGAAGAAAGGGCTTATTTGATGCCTGGCATTTCAATAGGAATGTAGGGGAGAGTGCTGCTCCTGGACCCCCAGGAGCCAGCAGGACCCTTGTACCCAGGAAGGGGAGCACAGCCTCTTACAGCGTCCATAATGCTGGCTCTGGAGCCCTCCATGTACGGAGCAAAGGCGGTTCTCTCTTCGGGAGGCACTTGCAGCCAGTCCCAGAGCATCAGGATGCGGCAGCGCAGTTCTTCACATACGGCCTCTTTCTGAGCTCTCCTGTCCTCCAGCTGGGAGACAGCAAAGGAACAGCCTTAGATCCAAGGAAAACTCAAGGAAGGTAGGTGGGTGCCCCCTCGCAGCCCATTCCCCCAACCTGCTGCAGCAGATCCTTCAAGGCAGCCAAGTTGTTCAGGGAGAGGCAGAAGGCGCCTGCATCCTGGCACATGGCCTCTCGCTCAAAGGTGGTGCTGGGCTCCCGCTCCAGTTCCTCCATGCAGAGGACAACCTGCTGCTTCAGGTGGACAAACTCTGCCTGCCGATGCTCCTAAGGGGAAAGGAAAGGATCAGCACCAAGCCGCCACCCCCCCTCCCCCTCTTGGAGACGCCCAGACCTTCTCAGTTGCCAAGGCTGCCAGGTGGCGCCGGAAGTGGTCCAGGTCCGCCAGGCTGGGCACAGCCTCGCTGCTGCCGATGCTGTAAGGCGCCCGGCCTAGCAGCTCCGCCAGCTCCTGGTCGCGCTCCTGCAGGACACGCAGCTCCTGCCGCCTCTCGCGCTTCTGCTTGAGCATCACCTCCACCCGGGTGCGCAGGTCTTTCTCCAGCTGCAGGATGGTGGCCTCCTCCTCCTCCTACAAGACAGGAAGGCCACAGGTGGGCTCGGCCGGCGGAGCGCGGGGGGGGGGGGGCATCGCCACGCGGACTCACCTGGAAGGGCGCCAACTGCAGCTCCTGGCACAGCGCGGCCAGCTCCCTCCGGCACAGCGCGATGCTCTTCAGCAGCCGCTCCCGGAGGCTCTCCTCTTCCGCCACCATCTGCTCCAGCAGGTCCTGCGAGGCGCGGGAGAGAAGAGCGCGCTTCAGCCCCCGATCAGCCCCCGCCCCGCCCCGGCCCGGCCCGGCCCGCTCACCTTGACGTGCCTCTTGACCACTTCGGTGCGCTGCAGCCGCTGCTCCTCCGGGATGCCGATCTCTTCCCAGATGCCGCGCAGGTGGCTCAGCGCCTGGGTCAGGCAGGCCACCGACTCGCCGGCCAGGACCTCGCTGTACAGGGAGGGAAGCAGCACGGGGGCCGTCAGCTCGGACGCCCCGGCCCCCCCCCACGGCCCCCGCGCCCCCCCTCCCGGCCCCCTCACACCTGCGCCTCATCTCGGCCGGCCAGGCGGCTCCGCGCCCGCTGCACCTCCGTCCGACCGTTTCTGCCCCGCGATTCAAACCCCCGCCGCGCCGCGATTGGCTCGTCCCAGGACCCGCCCACGAGCGCCCTTCCGCGACCGTTGTGGGCGGGGCCAGGGAGGCCGGGCCCGCGTCGCTGCTGGCCTCGCACGGGAGCCGCCCCGCCCCGCCCCGCCCCGCCGCAGCTCCTCAGGGCCGGCCGGGCTGCTTCGCCGGGTTGGGGCAGCGCCGCCCGAGTCGCCCCGCAGCCCGTTCGTGGCGCGAGCCTAGAAACCCCGAAGCCTTGGGCGACGCTGGGAAACCGCCCGAAAGCCCTTCGAGAAAGCTGCAAGGCCACGGCTGAGGGGGAGGGACGGCAGCGGCCTCCCTTTGCTCCACCCGCCAGGCCGCCTTCGGCTCGCTGCAAGCTAGTCAAGAGCGGGGGGAGCGCTTTCACCAGATAGGGAACTGCCGGAGATGTGAGGCCGTTTAAGGCATCCGTGCGAAAAGCAGCGCCCTGTCCCTGAAGATGAGTGGACCTCTGGCCTTTCTGCCGGGTGGCTCCCCCTGGCCATTTCCCCCGAGGCTTCCGTTACCCTGGAGGCTGTGGACACTGTGTAGCCTTTTCTGTCCTCTCCTCCCCAGGCCCCCCCCCCCTCAAATGTCCATCCAGTTTAGTTAGCTTCAGCTTCCGCTAGAAGGGAACGAATTGGGAGCGTTTCTGATTTGGGAAAGGGAGAGGATGAGAGCGAGCAGGCACAAAGGCATCAAACAGGAAGCCGCATGATAGGCAATTGACCAGTAGCAATTACATCAATTAATCTTTTATTTTGTGTTATTCCTGTGGTTTCTGGCAAGATGTTTATGTGCATTATACACGGACCCATTTATTGCAGGAGAAAAGTTTCCAGATTGCTGAAGGCTGAAAATATGGGGGGAGGGGGCATGTAGGGATTTTTCAATCTATGGAGTATTTTCAAGCATCCCTTTGCCTCCAGTTTGCTTTGGATGCGGTCACATCTTCATTTCCATGGTGGATTCCAGCAGGCGAGCACTGTTGGTGATGGCCGTCGTCAGGATGATGAACCGGAGCCCTGGTGGAGAAGCAAGAACCAAAGGTGACCCTGCAGAGAACAAAAGGCTTCCCTGCCAAGGGATGGCAATGATGCCGAGACCCCAGCTCAAGCCCCTTGTCAACCTATCTATCCTAAGAACTGAAGGGGGAGGCTATTTACAGCTGCTTGATTTCCTGAAAGAAGAGCAAGACAAAAATCCAAAAGACTCCAAACACAGTCCCAAAAGAAGCCTGACAGGAAGCTACCACCAACTGGTTTATCTGTGTAACTGGACACGGAGGGGAAACCAGTTACAAAAAGCTTACTTTTTCTCTTTATTTGCTCAAGTTTACTTTCAAAATAGCTAGAAGCAGGGCCCTCACTTCAAACTAACCTACATCACCACAAAGTTTACGTGCAGGGGCTCAGAATGGTACACCTCATGCATCCGCCAACCATTACCCCAGTTTGGGTGCATCTCATACCTCTTTCTCTGCCAAGGAAGCGGAGAGCAGCGACTTCAGAGAAGGTGCAGCCTCCTAAGAAGACTGCCAGGATGACTTGCTGGGAGGCTGGAGGTCTAGGCTCTTCTGCAGCTGCAAGGAGAAGTACCTAAATCCATGCCTCCAGATCAGTTGGAAGATGCCTATGGAGGCATCTGATTGACCAATACGTGATTTCTCTTCCACGTCCTCCTTAGGTCTGGATCCGCTCAGAGCAGAGTCCAAACAATGATTCCTTCATATCAGCACCTCCCAGAGGCAGAATGGGAATCGGGAGGACCCTGGCAGCTCTCCGAACTTCCCCAATTCTCCTGCTGATATTGCCTTTTAGACAGTTTAGCAAAATTGAATCACCACCACAAATCTTGGAGGACACATGCCAGTACTTTTGCTGATAATAAAATCTGCACCATGACCACTGAGGAGAACAGGCAGCATGCCTGGATGGAGACCCGGCTGTGGGAACAGGACCCCCGTCTTAACAAGCAGGAGCAGCAGACCCAGCCAGCCACTTGCCTGTGACAAATTCATGGCCCCCGAGCAGCCTCGCCACCTCTTCCAGGCCCAACCAGCCCCTCCGCTCCAGCACCTGAGATAGAATAGAGTCAAGCCAAAGCTGCCAAGGGAGAAAAGGAGCCCTCCCCAAATACCCCCATTAGTCCCAGCAGTCCAAAGGCTCTTAGCACCTGTTCCATTATCTTGCAACTGAGGGGCACATAGGCGCCACTGAACACGTAGGCCATGTCCCGGGGCACTTTCAGGTCGTAGTCTCCATTCCCACGTGGGATCTGCAAGGGAACAGGTGGTCACAACTGGAGGCCTCTTCCCTCCCTGCCTTAACTGAATCATGAACTCACCAGGCCCAGCTTCTTGCTTATAGCTCGGAAATTATTCTTCCTGGCCAGTGAACTGAAGGCATCCGAGAGCTTCTCTGGGGAGGGGGAGGAAGGGGAAAAGGATCCTGAGGACTGAAGATACCCATCTCTTTGCCCCTCCCCAGAAGGAGCCAGGGCGCAACAGAATCCCAAGGTCCCTTACCTGCTGCTTTATCCGTCACCAGCTTGCTGACTTTGTTCTCCATAGCCGTCAAAGTCTCACCAGACACTTGCTCCGTCAAGAGCCCCAAGTGCTTCAAGTTATGGAAGGTCAGAAGGTGCTCTGGTCCATAACTCTGCCAATGGGCAGGGATAGGTATCATAGCAGAACAAGAGATCATCTTGGGGAAGGGGGGCAGAGCTGCACCTTCAGAAAACTGACTTGGGACCTCTCTGCCACCCAGGGGAGGGCCACATGTCTGAGCCTCACCTGCAGGTACTGGGTTTTCAGGGAGCGGTAGTCCTTGGGAGAAAGTCCTGGGGAAGCAGGCAGAAGACGTGGGGTCAAGGGGCACAGCAGGGCCTGCCTGACCCAGCCCTCCCTCCCGAACCAGAACCTACCATTCTCTGTGATTGACAACAGGCACAATATCCTCAGACTCTCAATAGGGGTGACCTGTTTCCGGAAGAGTGCAGGAGAAACCGGTCAATGGACAGCCTTCCCCAGGCCTTGGCTTGGGCCACTTCCTCATTCCCCTGTGATCCAGCCTCCTCTCACCTGCCGGTCAATGTGCTCTTCAATGAAGCTGATGCTCTCCCGGATATCAAACCCTTCTAGAAGGGCTGCCAAGCAAACAGAGTGATGAAAGCAAAGCCAGGCCCAGACTCTCTCTCACCTTTCTTGCTTGCCAAAGACCCCCCGCATGGCCTCTGCCTCCTAGCACCTCCCCTCCTCATGAGGCCCCTCCAGCTACCAGAAAGGAAGCATCCAAAGACAATAAACCATCTGCCAGAAGCAGCCCAACCCTCAAGCTGAGAATCTGGAATCAGGCCAGTGCCCAAGGATGGCAGGAGGTGGACCTTCGCCACTTCCACATGGAGACTCCCAAGATCAGCACTCAATGCACTGATTCCAACCTTGCTTTGAGATAGGATTATGTGAAGTGCGGTGAGCCAAGGAAATATAAAGGCATTTTTAAAAGTCTTTTAACTAAATCCTTGATACCAAAACTGTTTAATACAGCTCTTCATCCATTCCTCTCCTTGCAACCATGCTTACCCCACTTTATATGCCTGTCTTCTCCCCTCTTCCTTCATGCACTTCTTTTGCACCTGATCTGAATTCATCTCCTCTGCAAGACCAGACCCCCGAAGGGCTAAGTATTCCAAGGCTTTTCAGTCCTGGCTTTGCCACCCACCCATTCAAGTTTTTTTGATGTTTCTCCTCATACTCCCAGCAACAAGGAAGTTGGAATCAATGTCCTTTTCTGCCCTTCCAGCTGCTTATTCCATACAATGAACTACATCAGATAGTTAGATCCCGGATCTGCGCACCTTCCGCCACGCGCTTAAAACGTTTTTATTCCATCAAGCTGGCCTGGCCTAAATCTTCTCCTTTTTTAAATTTTAAAATTTAAATTTTAAATACTAATTTTAATTTGTTTAATTATGGGATATTTTAAAAATTGAGCCAAATTGTTTAATCTGTTTTAATTTATTTTAAATTTTGTATTCTTGTGTTTTATCCTTTGGCTGTTCACCGCCCTGAGTCCTTCGGGAGAAGGGCGGTATAGAAATCTAATAAAATAAATAAAAATAAATAAATCTGATCCACTTCCCTTATGCAGCATTTGAAGGTCTTAAGGTTTCTGCATCCTTTCCCTCTCATCTGCAAACATTCCTCCAAAGTGCAAAGGTTCACCTCCTTGAGCTGGTCTTTACCATAAATGTGTCTTGCAACTACTCATTCTATTTTCCCTGTCAAACACAACTACCTTGATCTCTAGTACATTTTCATTTCCATGCTTGGTACATCACTATAGATGAACCAATTTTTCAGTCAGCAACACAGAACTTACTGCATGCAAAATGACATGAATGTTCATGTCCACAACCAGCAAACCTCTGCTGTTGCCAAGAGACTTCCTTATACATTTATCCATAAATACCTGAAAAGACCAACTTGTTTATTAAAAGACTCTTCTTGTTTCCTGCCCACTTGCTAACCTTCCCACTGGTTTGAATGATTCTCAGAGAATTTCTGTCATCTGATACCTTCCCACATTCAGTAATCAACTCCAATCCCATAATCAAATTCAGCCAGTTCACTTGTACAACCCTTCTTACCATGTTCCGTCTTCAACAGTTCCTGGAAATCCTGTCTGGTTTTTTTCTTCATGATGGACTCACAGGCCCCAATATCTGCACATATGAGGAAGATGGTCAAACCAGGAGGAGGAAAATATTTTCTGGAACACACTTAAAGCTGCCCGTGAATCCTCCAGCACTGAGTCTTAACAACTAAAGACAGCTTGAAATCCTCCTGCTGGGACGAGGCCAGAGATGGGTTTTACAGAATGGTTGCAAAGGCTCTGCAGCCCACATCTGGCTGGGATGGGGCAGTGGGCCATGCAAAAAGTCCAGGGAGGTTTTGTTGCTAAGATTCCTCTGCCTAGGACACCCCGGCTGAGAGGACTTACGGAGACTCAATAAGCGATGTTCTTGTTTCAGGCCCTTCAGTTCTTGGGAGACAAAGTTCTTCATCTGCTTAATATCCATTCCCCGTCGTCGCTGGAAGAGAGACATTTCCTACAGGCTGGGCCAGCCACAAATCCACCCCTTGTGGCCATTATTGCCCCATTCTAGCCTACACACATCATACTGGGCCTGCAGGTTCCGTGCCTTCTGACTCAGGAGACCGAACACATTGGAGAAGTGCTCATTGCGGATTTTGCTGAACACCTGTAGAGAGATGCAGGCCAGACCATGGTAACCTAGAGAAGCCCCTTGCCACTCTCCCAACCATCTGGCTTCTGCTCTCAGAAACTCCTGAACGGCTTCTGTCTCAGAGCAGAGAAAGTTTACCTTGTCCTGGGAATTCAGCAGGACTTTAATGCTTCGGTCAGAGGAGGTAACATCTGGACCAAAATCCACACTTCCTGCAGAAAGTGGGTTGCTCAAGTCACTTGCCCATGGCACTCAGTTTACCAGGACCAGTAATTATTCTGGATGATGGCAACCTCTGGATACCTCCAATCTAGCCCTCAGAAACTGGAAGGTTAGATGCCAATGCCAAAGGCTCAAGGCTGGGGAGGAACTCACCACATTTTATGCGGAAGGTATCATCCACCAGGCCTTCATAGACCACCTGAGAACAAAGGGCTGTAACGTAATCCACATCTAAAAAGAGATAAACGTGAGGCCTCTCTTGTAACAAGGCCCGGCTCAGAAGCCAAAAGTAGCATCTATGGGCAGGGTAGAAGAACAGTGATCTGAAGCTGGAGAACAGCTTCTGCTTGGGTCGAGCAGACCGTTTTGCCACTTTTATCTACCAATTTCAAGCTCATCAATAAACTATTTGCTCAAAATAAGACACAACAGCTGCTTCTCTCTGAAATTCCTGTGGCACTGCTCTTCCTTTTGGCAATTGCTTGAGTCTTTGGCAGCTTCCAGGACATGTGAAACCAAGAACTAAAGTCTGTGGGAATCACTTTGTCTCTTACTTCCAAAATGACCCCCCCCCCTCCAAAAAGCTGCCACACAGCACCTGCACTCAAAGAAGGCTTAGCAGGAGCTCCCACTGGAATCAAGGAAGGTTTCTAGGCAGAATACTACCTCCCTCTTTCCTTTCCCTCAGACCCACCTCTGTCTATAAGGAAGACGTGGCCAATCTCTGGCTTCCGATCCATGTTGTCAACCTCGCTCTCTTCCGCTATGTCACGCCAAAGCTCATGGACCATCTAGGAAAAATTAACCCATTGCACTTTACAGGTCCCCTCAGGTTACATCACAGGCAGGACTCTCTTACAAGATCCTTCCCTAATGACAGGTGCCTGCTTCGTTCCGACAAAAAAGAGCCAACATCTTACCAACACAAAGCAAAGCTTTCAGGAAGGTTTTGGGTAGCTTGGAAGGAAGAGAACCTTTTACATAAACAGGGCTGCATTTAGTCAATGTGTTCTGGGGCCTCCCCTTCTCCTTGCTTCCAGCCATGGCTCAGCCAACAACAGCCTCCATAGAGCCATTTATTTCTCTGGGGCACATGCTCTCTAAGCAAGTCCACCCGCCTGGGTTGATCTGGCCGCACCTTGGCACACCGCCCAATTCCATAAGTCTCAGTGAATGGGCCGAAGAGAGAGTTCATCAGCTGTAAAGCTTGGGCCACTGTGTTGATCCACCGCTGGTCTGCTTCCTGCAAGAGTAAATGGAACCTTGAAACCAGAAGGGAATAGTTGACTCTTGGAAACCCAGAAATCTCTTCCTCTCCAACATAAAGCAAATGGAATTTGCACACTCAATTAGCATTCAAAACAGAAATCAAATTAACGGTTTATCAGTTAAGCATCATGTTCTGCAATATGAGCCAACCACTGTATTGCTAATATATGCAAATACTAATTGGCAGGTAATAAATGTGGCTTTTATTACAAAGATGTAATGTTTATAATTTTTATGTGAATATGTAATACTTTTCTTTAGAGCAGTGGTTCTCAACCTTCCTAATGCCGCGACCCTTTAATACAGTTCCTCATGTTGACTTCCGGTTTCCCTGTCTTCGGCGACGGCGGTGCCTTTTGAAGCTCCGCCAGCCCCACCGCCTGTAGAGCCGCTTCGCGACGAAGAAGCGGCTCGAAAACTTCAAAATCCACAGGATTGACGAAGTAGAGATCGCAGGGCACAGGTCGAGCCCCTGTAACCCCCCAGGGAAGTTTCTGGGGAGAGAACAGGCGTGGCTCCCTCCCAACCTGCTGAAACTCCGGGCGACGTGGGACGATTCTGCTTTTGCAGAACAAGCCGGCTGCAGGAAACTTAAAGCGAAAAGAACCAGCCTTAATAAATAGCGAAACTACCTGAATCCTGAAACTTGGAAACGCAAGTATTAGCGCTTTGTTGACTTTTTAATCTGAGAAAAATGCGAATGAGTGAAAGTGCTTTGAAAAAACATGGCGCTCAGCCTTAGAGTTAACGAGCCAGCGAGTGTGGATTGGTGGTTATCTTGCTTTGTTACAAAGTTTCCAAGTTGCTACAAAGTTGCCTTGTTTGTAATAAGAGAAACAAGTGGAAAATTTCTCCCTTTTCAATACTTGACTTTGCTTTACTTCAACCTTTATTTGATCAAATCTGGGGGACTTTTTTAGAAGTCTTTGTGCAGGAGGGAAAGGAAAAGGAACTTCCCTCTTTAGAAAAACTAGATCACGTGGCAGGATGGCTTCAAAGAAGCAGGAAGGGAAGGCAACAGGGGGGGGATCCCCCACACACAAACATGAAACGCAGCTTCCCCCTGCTCAACAGCTACAGACTCAGAAAAAAGAATTTGATGTGGGAGATTTAAAAGAATTTATTTCTAAAACTTTGGATGATAAATTTCAAAAATCTCAACAGGAGATAGATGATAAACTTCAAAAATCACATCAGGAATTTATGCAGGAAATTAATGAAGTTAAAGATATGGTGAAACAGAACCAAAACAAGGTGACCAAAAAAATATCAGAAGTGGCATCTGGCCTGGCAGAATTTATTGGGAAAGTTGATTTTAAAGTTGAAGAACTTAAATCAGAAGTTAATGTTAAGATGAAAGACAATGATTATAAAATTGCTGATGTTGACAATAAAATGCAAAGAGTTGAAAACGAGATTGTCATGATACAATTCAGGGCAATGGAGTTTGCTATACGGCTTCGAGGAATTCGAGAGGAGGAAAGACAGGATTTGAGACAAGTTTGTTCTGAGGCCCTGGCCAAGATTCTACAAGTTAATCCTGATGTGGTTTTTCACAAAATAGACAAAATTTACAGAGTCAATTCCTGGGTGGCCAGACAAAGACAATTACCTAGAGATGTGGTCATATATTTTACAGATAGAGAAATAAGAAACGATATCCTGCAAAAATCCTTTTACACTTCTGTACAAGTGGGGGGCTCACGAATTGGAATTTATAAAGAATTGCCTCCTAAAATGCTGAAAGCTAGAAAAGAATTTGGCTTTCTTGTTAAGGAATTGCAAAATTTACAGATACCTTTCCGGTGGGACGCACCAGTTGGCATAATTTTCAGATACAAGGGAGAAAGATACCGTTTGAATACCGTGGAGAAGGCACAGCACTTCTATACTACTATTCTTAAGGAAAGAACACCATCTCCACGTACATCTACAGTTTTGGAGATTAAAGAGAGTGAAGAGAAGCAACCTCAACGAGAATTGCAAGAACAGTCTAAGCAGGAATTAGAGGAAGTGCAAGGTGCAGAAGGAGGTTTTCTGGATGAGCCCTTGCTGGAATCTTCTCCAATTTTGGACCCGGTTCGGATGATTGAAGTTAAGGATCAACGTATAACTCGAGCTCAATCTAAGTTACTTAAACAAAAGCAACAACAACAACAGGAAAGACAAGACAAGGAGGCAGTTAAGAGTACTGCACAAGAGATTGGAGCCATGGGGGGAGCGAGATCGAAGCTTTCGGATGACCTTCAATTATTTTGCTCTTTGCTCCAGAAAGAGGGAGATGATGTTTAAGTGTTTATCTTGGAATGTTAATGGGTTGAATTCAGCACAGAAAAGGAAGAAATTATTTACATATTTGAAACAATTTAATAATGATATAATTTGTTTACAAGAAACGCATATCACAACTCAAGATCAAAAATATTTGATAAACTCCAAACTAGGAACACATTTTATATCTTCAACTTCGCAAAAAAAGAATGGTGTGGTTATTTATGTAAATAAAAAGTTAACAGCTAAAGTTATAGAAGCAGATGAAGATGGTAGGTTTGTAGCAATTGAATTGCTTACAGCAAATGGCCAAATTCTTTTGATTGGAATTTATGCTCCCAATCAACAACAGGACCATTTCTATAAGATGTTACATACTAAAATATTGCAATGGGATTACAGATCTATTTTAATTATGGGAGACTGGAATGGAGTAATCAACTCTAAATTAGATAAAAAGAGTTTGGCAAAGTCTAGGATCAGATTACCACAGACCTTTTTTGACATGAAAGAAGATATGGAACTAAAAGATGTTTGGAGAATACATAATTCAAAAGAATTGGACTACACTTTTTTTTCTGACAGACACAGATCCTTCTCTAGGATTGACTTTATTTTGTTGACAGATGATTTACTTGTTAAGACAAAAAGAACAAAGATTTTTCCAAGAACTTTGACTGACCATAGCCCAGTATGGATAGAAATTGAGATGGACAAGGTTGAGAGACGTTCTTGGAGATTAAATGAGAATTTGTTTAGATATGAAAAAAATACAATAGAACTTAAAAAGCATTTGAAAGAATTACCCCAATTGAAATTGTGTGGGACGCAAGTAAAGCTTATATGAGAGGGGTACTTATCTACATGAACTCTAAACATAGACTGTTTCGACAAAAGAAAAGATCTGAACTGGAAATAGAAATAAAGAATAAAGAACAGTTACTTATTAAAAATCCAACAGATGAAAGAATACGTAGTGCTATAAAACTTTTGAAAGACCAATTTCAAATGCTTATGGCGAAACAAGTTGCAACAAACTTACAATATGCGAAGCATAACACATTTTGTAACGCTAATAAACCGGGCAGATGGTTGGCTTACACACTGAGGAAAAAACAAAGTATATGGACTATTGATAGTATTGATATTGGAGGGAAAGAAATCTTTCAACAAAAATTAATTAAAGAAGCTTTTGTGGACTATTATACTAAATTATATGCTAAAGAGGAGGTGCAGAATGGACTTATAGAAAAATATTTAAACGATAAAAGAGTTACAAAAATTACTGATCAACAAAAGGAAAGAATGAATTATCCTATAACAGAGGAGGAGATAATAGTAGCAATTAAACAGTTAAAAACAGCCAAAGCTCCTGGCACGGATGGTTTGACCGCAGTGTATTACAAAACTTTGCAAGCTGAAATGGTGGAACAACTTAGAGATTTATTTTGCAATATTCAGCAAGGGGGTAAAATACCCCCATCATGGACAACAGCTTACATATCTTTGATACCAAAAGAACAAATCGGTCCTAAAAAACAGAACTATAGACCAATATCTCTTTTGAATACAGATTATAAAATCTTTGCGAAAGTACTAGCCAACAGGCTGATGCCAGTAATTCAAAAGGTGATTCATGATGATCAAGCGGAATTTATCGAGGGTAGATACATGAAGGACAATGTAAGGCAAGTAATAGATTTATTGGAATATCTTGAGAAGAATAAACAGATTCCTGCAGTGCTGGTCTTTTTGGACGCAGAGAAGGCCTTTGATAGAGTGGATTGGAATTTTCTACTAAAGACTTTAAAAAAGATGGACTTTGGGGATCAATTTATACAGGCGATTTCAGCAATTTATCAAGAGCAAAAGGCACAGATCATTATTAATGGAAGTCTGACAACAGAGTTTAAAATTGAAAAAGGAACAAGACAGGGATGTCCGTTGTCCCCACTTTTATTTATTTTAACACTAGAAGTCTTGCTAAATACAATACGGGACTCTAATATCTTGAAAGGTATAAAGATTAGGCAAGAGGATTACAGAATAAAGGCATTTGCAGATGATCTGGTTGTTACCCTATCACAACCAATGGAATCAATAATCTTGATGAAGGACATTATACAAGACTATGGTAAAGTTTCAGGTTTTAGACTGAATCCAAAAAAGACTAAAATGATAGCTAAAAACATGACACAAGATCGTAAACATGAGCTTGAAAGGAGGGCAGGTTTTGAGACTGTACCTAAGGTAAAATATCTAGGAGTTCAGGTTGCAGAATCAAACATGAAATTGTTTCAAAATAACTATGAGGTGTTGTGGCAAGAGGTGCAGAAAGACATGGAGACGTGGAAAAAACTGCAGCTGTCTCTACTTGGAAGAATAGCAGCAGTTAAGATGAACATTTTGCCAAGATTTCTTTTTTTGTTTCAAATGATTCCGGTGCTTAAAAGTGATAAACAATTGAAAGTCTGGCAAACTGGACTCAATAAGTTTGTCTGGAACGAGAAAAAGCCGAGAGTGAAATTGAAAATTATGCAAGATGTTCCAGAAAGAGGAGGTCTTAAACTTCCAAACCTACAGTTATATTATGATGCAGCAGCTTTAACTTTAACAAGTGATTGGTTTGGAAGTAAAAAGGCTGGAATATTGAATGTAGAAAGTTTTGATCTTGAATTTGGATGGCATGCTTACTTATTTTAT